TCAAATGTAACAATTTATTATCAGTCAGGTAAATATGTATTATGCCAATTATCTCCATAGCCAATTCAAAGATATCAAATCAATACAAGACATCAAATTCTCATAAACAAATCTAAGAGTAAAGAATTCATACCTGACTTTAGGAAAATACATAGTGTTGAGTGTGTGGACACATTCCATACTACGGGTTCAATACAAGACATCAAATTCTCATAGACAAATCTAAGAGTAAAGAATTCATACCTGACTTTAGGAAAATACATAGTGTTGAGTGTGTGGACACATTCCATACTACGGGTTTTCTGGCTACAGAATCGCCCCGACCCTTTTGCTGTTCAAAGTATCTCTTAACTCTTAGGATCTGTATTATCTTTTAGTCTATTTCTGTAAGATAAAGACCATTGTACCACTCGCCCTGAGACTATTCAAATGACACCAAACATGACTGTAAATCTTATTTGCATTCATATAGAACATTATATTCTACCATTGACCATTCTGAGTGAGCTGGGTGAAGAGAAGGATGGGTGCGGGGAAGGAAGGGGATGAGGAGGAACCAATGCATATGTGAGAGACGTTTTCCCGCATTTTCTCTCAGTGAGATGCGGAAACAGATGTCTGTATGTTAATGCACTGTGTGTGTATTGTCTGTCTCAGAAGATCAAAGTATCTGAGTTTATTTTATCCTTACACTATCAATCCATCTGTCTCCATCTATCTATCTATCTATCTCTAACCATTTGGTAAGCCAATTTTATCTGAATGTGTGCATGGACACATGGTTGGGTCAGTGTCCTTGCATAAGCACATCTCAGCACATGCATACAGACCAGCAGTGGCACAAACAAACAGCCCAGTATAGAATCATAGAATGTTTCTGTCTCCCGGTCGTTACTTCTGGAAAAATGTTTAGAGATTTAGATGTATCCACATTTTGGCCTTCTGTCAGATATTCCTGCCAGTTCTGCAAAAGAAAGGAAAATAATAGCTGCGACAAAAACCGCTGAATACCCTAAATAAACCAAAGACTGCTTGTGGATGGACATTCACAGCGATTCAAAGGGCAAATCAATTAAATATCAAAATATCTTTCATTTTTATGGGTTTATTTCATATTTCCAAAAGCATCTGATGGTGGGACACATGTAATTCCATTTATTAGCACTACTCAACCTATGGAACTTTCCATATAGAAATGGAAACTGCCATAACTGAGATCCTGGAATATACTGCAACTTAATTCCTTTCTAGTAACCTACTGTTGTGGTCTTTATAACAAGTCTAAGGAACAGATATTTACAGGGGAAGAAATCATGAATTTTAAGAGGCTGCGTAGAAGCTCAGTGAAGCAGAACATCAGTCCACATTTTATTCGGCTCCATTATGATTGAGTGTGCATGTCCTACTTTTTGGAAGCATTTCTCATGTGCGGCTTCAGTTGTTGTGCTGCAGTGGTGTCTCATAACACACACACATATACACGCATAACACATGGTAATGACATCTAGTGTGCAGGAAAAACATAATTGGCAGTTTTCAAGCGTTGACCAGTCAAGTGACCACTGGGTGTCTTCTGGTAAGGCAGGAGATTTAATTAAGGGGCGACGTTTCATTTTCTGAGTCTGAAGAACACTTATAGAAAAATGTTTTTGAGACTGCTGCACAAAACTAAATGTTTTTTTATTTCAAAATAAAATTTTCTGTGCTTGCCCATGGTAATGTTGCTATAAAGATCACCAGGGGTACCTTTGTGGATCCTGTGGTCTTCTGAATGCCCAGTCCCCATGTTTCTATATCAGGATGGGTCCCTCCTTTAATGTAGGTTTTATCACTATTTCAATCTTTCTACTTGAAAATTTCAAGTTTAACTCAGTGTGTTACTTGTAAGTAACTTAAAGTTCACCAAAAATGAAAATTCTTGTTGTTCCAAACCCGTAAGAACTTCGTTCATCTTCAGAACACAAATTAAGATATTTTCGATGAAATCCGAGAGCTTTGAAAGCAGAGGAATGTACACACAATGCATCGTAGTACTCTCGTGAACACGTGTAAAAGACTGACATGGCGGAAAAAATACATTTTTTAATAAAGTCAGACTATTTTAATTATGTCCTTACTACCTTTCTGGGCATTAAACGTGGTAGTGGCATTGCTGTCTATGCAGGGGCAGAAGACTCTCGGATTTCATCAAAAATATCTGAATTTGTGATCCGAAGATGAACAAAGGTCTTGCGGGTTTGGAACAACACAAGGGTCAGTAATTAATGACAGAATTTAAATTTTTGGGTGAACTATCCCTTTTACTTGAAGTTACGGAGTAAAAATAGTTTCAACACCAAATGTTTCTCAGTGTAGCACAAACACTGTAGGATTAGTTAGGCTAGGAATTTGTTAAACTACATATAGAATGATGAAATAAAGACACTACTTGACAGCATAAAGTTTTTGTAAATTTAGTTTTATATCCTTACGAGCGGTGCTGCTGCAATGTAACAATGTGCAGCAATGTACTGTCATAAGTGCCCCGTCACAAGACATGGCACCTCAAGCCACATTCCGTAAACCAACACTGAATAACGCAAACACATTTGTATACACCAACAGCTTGCGAATGCAAACAGAACAAAAGTAAATATCAAAAAGTATCTCACAAGAGCAGTTTATCAGGTAGGTATTGAAGACATTGACGTAAGAGTGTTTGCATATGTTTGTGTATCTCATAGATACTGTGAAACCAATGATAATTACAGGTGCATCTCAATAAATTAGAATGTCGTGGAAAAGTTCATTTATTTCAGTAATTCAACTCAAATTGTGAAACTCGTGTATTAAATTAATTCAATGCACACAGACTGAAGTAGTTTAAGTCTTTGGTTCTTTTAATTGTGATGATTTTGGCTCACATTTAACAAAAACCCACCAATTCACTATCTCAACAAATTAGAATATGGTGACATGCCAATCAGCTAATCAACTCAAAACACCTGCAAAGGTTTCCTGAGCTTTCAAAATGAGCTCTCAGTTTGGTTCACTAGGCTACACAATCATGGAGAAGACTGCTGCTCTGACAGTTGTCCAGAAGACAATCATTGACACCCTTCACAAGGAGGGTAAGCCACAAACATGTTTTTTTTATTGGTCTTATGAAGTATTCTAATTTGTTGAGATTGTTTTTGTTAAATGTGAGCCAAAATCATTACAATTAAAAGAACCAAAGACTTAAACTACTTCAGTCTGTGTGCATTGAATTTATTTAATACACAAGTTTCACAATTTGAGTTGAATTACTGAAATAAATGAACTTTTCCATGACATTCTAATTAATTGAGATGCACCTGTAGTGTGAATTCGATGCGATTGGAATGCAACTGTTTACTGTTGAACAGTATGGCCAGAAACATACTTTTCCACAAGTATGCAGACGCAAATATTTGGTCAATGCATTTGCCTTGTTGAATATGTTTAGCGTGCTAGCAATTAACTTGCTCAAACTGCTGCTTTGCCATGACAGTAGTTGACCTGAAAGAGTAAAAATGACTGTAGAAGACAACATGCAATGCAACAGTCTGACACATTTCAGAAATCAAAATCAACAACTTAGCTCGAATCATTTATGTACTTGCACAGAATATGTTTCGAGGCAAAGTCAGTTTACAACTTGTTAGGAATCTCTCACCTGATTGATTCATTGGTGGAATGCGCTTTAGAATTTAGCTTCTTTGTCTTATCTTGCTCTGTAGTCCATGCAGCATATTGCAGGCCATGCTGGATTGTCAGACATAACATTTTTTTCTGTTTACTTCTTAAGATCTGTTTCTTCAAGGCACAGCAAGAGAGCACGGTACAAATCACAACTCATTTACATTCAGTTTGGCAAGAAAACCCGAGTCCACCCACCCCTTCCCTTCCAGTCCTAGAACCACTAGCAGCAAAGACCAAGAATACAAAATTTACTAAGAAAATTAAAGTGTTACAGAAGCCAGAGCAACACTTGACGGATCTAAAGACAGCTGCAGGCTGGTTTGAGCATGTGACAGAGTTAAACAACATGCAGTTGGAGACTCTGGAATTGAAGACTTGTGTATAGGATCAGCCAATGTGCCATTTTCAGTTTGTGTCGTAACACTTCCTGTAAATCATTTTACGAACATATTTCATGGATTTCATGATTCCTAAAGGAATGTTCTGATTTTAATACAAGCTCCATCAGCAACTTCAACTCATCCCTTAATTTGTAAAAACAAACACAAATTGTATTTATAGTAATAAACATACAATAAAAGTCTATGGGCTTGGTCAGTTGGACCAGAATAGATGCTAAAATACATGTTTCAATTCTAGAACCACGAAATGTAAATATATCATGAAAAACCGCTTACCTTGTCTGATCAAATTTAGATCTGAATTTTTCGTCTTTTGGATGATGTAAACCTAAAATAACTTACAGTTCAAATAAAACACTTTTATATTAATACACAGGGCTCTAGACGGTGACTAAAATGCGCAACAACAATGTAAAAACAAGCTGTGAAAGACTTCACGCTCAAATGTGGTTTTGTCAGACAATCCTTAGAACGCGCGCTCTAAGGAACAAAGAGCGGGATGACCGATTCGTAACAAAATGACTCTTGCGAATCGGTTCTTTAAGTCAAAAAGATTCACGTAACAGCCTCGAGTTCGCTCATGAATTACTATTTGAATCAGTCAGGAAATTGTTCTGAGCCGCTACCAAGTTGACTCCCTCTACCAACTGACTCCCTCACTGAACCGCGAGTCATTTTTACAAAGCGTAATGTTTATGGCACAAATAACATACAACTGAAACAAATTTGACTAAATACAACTATTAAAACAGATCATAGTTTATGTAACTCATAGTTTATAATAACTGGTATTAAATGCTGAAGTAGGAAGGTATGAACTCAATGACTTAAGTGAATCTGAACATATGAATTACATAATTTGTTGGCCAAAAAAGACAATGTTTAATTTTAGAAGTCAGTGGTTATTTATTTGCCTGGAGCATTAATATAAATGGTTTTTCGAGCTTTAATCCTTCTGTAATGCTCCATAGACCATATTATAAGTGTGTTACTGTAGAAACTAAGCGAGTTAAATTTATGCCAACAAAGCTGAAGTCTTTTCGATTATTCCTTTAACATCTCTGTTTGTTGTCTTTTTCCTACAAACTGATTGTTTTTGCAGATATTTTTTTCAGTTCATTAAGTGAAGTCTGCTAAACTAGACTGTATATTAGTCCGTGAAAAGCTCACTTTCGAATGTCCTCACATCTCTCCCACAGACCAAACAACTGATTGAATTTCACAGGAAAGGAAAAAATAAATAAAAAATTATGGAATGAGTGCCTCATTGACTTTGAAATCTACTGTAGTGCCAATTGACTGCAGTATATGCACAACACAACTGCTATTGTCACTGCAAAACAAATAATAAATGGGAGTGATTGACTCTGGTGCACACGGCAATAAAGGTTGAGGGTGTTAATAACAGTAATAATAATCTAATAATAGTAAACACATGAAAACAATGCGCTCTCAGCATAATGTTGCACAATTACGTACCATTGCTAAAATACAAGTACTGAATAAAAATAACAATAATAAGCACAAACTGCAACAACAGCAAAAGGATTAATAATAAGCGAATAAGATTTCGATGTCTCAAATCTTTGGAGCCATACAATGTGACTATGCATAAAAAAAAGTAAATCGAAACATCTGTTGAAATACAATGTTCCAAGCCTCAGTCAACCAACCCACCAGACACCCATTAACGTCATTAGAGAGAAAAGAAAAACACAGAAGAAAGTAGAAAGTGTAGTCCGAGCAAGAGAAGTGGCTGGTCTCGTTCTTTGACAGATCTTTGCTTTTATCCACTTCAGATGCTTCCTTGAAAGCTCATCAAAGTCCTCAGAACTAAAACCGCCATGTCAGTGAATTCCCAACAAGCTTTTTGAAGCAGTATGCTTGGATGTCTGCAATTTGTTGTCTTTTACTCGTAAATGGATGTTGTAGAGGAAACATTTTGCAGCATAGTGCCTCTTTATCAGCCACTAGCTAAGATGAGGCATGGGGCTTGAGCGTTAGGGAGTGGGAATCGGGGGCAGGTTGGTCACGGGAAACCCACAGGACTGTCCATGAGAGGGCTCGGGCAGCTGGGATTTGGCTCATCCTTGAGTTCAGTCTCCAAAGTTTCCTCCAGATTCTTCTCCTCCACCCCTTCGGCGTCATGCACTGAACTCTGGTTGTTCCCCATGGTGCCGTAGCTCTGGTGGGCCGGAGAGGGCATGGGAGTCAGGCCCAGCTCTGGCTCCAGCAAGACAGAGGCTATAAAAAGCTGAGGAGGGAAAGAACGAGAGGTGAGTAGGTGGACAGCAAGAGTGTCATTATCTTAAGAGCTTCTTTTTTTGTTTATGCAACATGCTACATGTGAAGTGCCTTTGACACTGTGAGTGGAAACCTTAGAGGAGATGAGAGGAGAGAGACAAATTAATTTCATAAAGAGGACTTGAAATGAGAGTGTGATGAATGAAATGATCTGTGACAGGATGAGCAGGTACATTAGCTGTGGTTGTGGTGGAAACGGTGCTTCTTTCCGCATCGGTGAAGCCTCCTTCTGTCGTCTGATCGGACATCTGCAACAAAACAAAACAGCAATCAGTTTTAACTGCCTGAAGATATTATTTTCCTAAATAAATCATCTTTGAGAGCTTATTTTCAAAGCCCATCTAAAATAATTTCATTTCAGAGTTTTCAAGGCTGCACTGTTGACAAATGCATCTAGTTGTTAAGGTAACAATCATAAACTTTCCTGTTTTTAAAACATAACTTTGTTAATGCATGTACACATTTGGGGGTATTCATGGATGAAACACATAAGCCAACTGCAAATAACAGTGACACTGCATTCAAGGTATATATCTTTATCATTTTTAGCTCATGTGCTCCCTGGGAATCAGAATCATGATCCTGGGTGCTAATAGGTGATATAAATCGTTCAGCAATGAAGCAAGTGATATCTTTATGAATGGGTCATTGTATCATTCACCCAACCGATTCATTTAAAAGCACAGATTTATTTAGTAACAAAACACCATTTTATGCTGATTGGAAATGCACAATGTTTATGCTGTGGCAATTTTCATGAAATAAAGCAAAAACAGACAATATCCTCAACATTGTGTCTAAAATGTGTTTAACTGTTGTATAGAATCAATATAACATAGCTTTTAAAAACCCTCTGCCTGTGTGATATTGCTTAACCATATCATATAATATAAATGTAAAATGCCCCCATGTCCTTGTTAATTTCTGAAAATGAAAATGTGTTAAACAATAATGTCACAATGAAACAAATCATAAATGCAATTTTGCTTAATGTAAAAATAGAATTACTTTTTTTTCTGATGGTTTTGGTGTGAAATATAAGCTAGATATTCACTCATAAACTCTAACTATTTTTTCCACCATATGCACCCTGTTTCTACAAGTCATCAAGATCAAGGTTTAATCACTGACCTGATAGCTTGTTGATCTGTCAGGTCGTAGTTTTTTCAGACAGAAGCCAAAGCAGGAGAAGGCAATACAGCACAAGAGAGTTATGAAAGTGAACAGACTGATGGGCTGCACTGGACCTGCACAAGAGATAAACCACAAGGTTTTGCTTTTATATGGGACAGAGCAGGAGACCTGATCTTGTGGTCTTGGTCTTGAGATCTCTCAAGACCACATAAACATGGCCTTGGTCTGGGTCTGGGTCTCATTACTAGTCTCTTGGTTTGGGTCTGGTTCTGGAAATGTTTTTTTGTTATATGTACTTAGACAAGACCTCAGTCTTGACTGCAATTTCCAAAACAAAAAAAACTTGTTTTTTACATGAATTACGGACTCACTCACTCTTTTAACATGTATGCGTTCAGCTTTAGATTTGGCAAAGCAAAGGCGTAGAGAGTACACCAGAAGAGCAGGAATACGCAGAAGCTCCATAGCCGTTCCGATCAGACTGGACGTGATCACGTAGTTCACAAAAAAAGCTCCATTATCAGGCAAAAACACACATCTGAGGGGATAAAACCAAGTGGATGTAGGTCTCAACAAATTGTGAATCTTGCTGTTCTAATTCAATTAACCAGCAGGTGTAGATTTAGGCAACTTACTGAAACTTTACATCTGTTTCATCCAGGAAGTGGATGTCAAAGAGCCACCTGAAGAACAAATCCAGGCTGGGGAGCAGACAAGAAGATAATACATGTACATTACTGTATATATACAGTGGCTACCAAAAGTATTTGGACACTTAAACTTTATTAATGCCAATATATCAGCCATTTGTTCAGTTCCTTTTTACTAACTGGCTTTAAGGTGATTTATAGGGGTGTATGAAATCATTTCCCCTCCAGTCCACACATTACCTAGCAGAGTAATCACCAGTTCATCACATTAACTATGAATATTATCTTTTGTTTAGAAAACATAGACTAATGTTTTTTTGCCAGCCAAGTGTTTGGATACTCTCTGATAGCCTTTATCTATTGTTTCATGTTGTGTGAGTTCAAACATATGCTTGCTATAAATTTGAAAATGAAGTTCATAAAAATGAATCTTCTACTATAAACATGTTTTCAGTTTTTGAGTTAAAATTCATTTTGATATTTTTATGGGGATCAAATTTAAACATGTTTAGGTGGTGTAACTGTCTGGGTATTGTAAAAAAAAAATAAAAAAAAAAATAGCCTCATTAAAAGACTGAAATTCTTTACAAAAAAAAAATGTTGGCACAATTGGGACATCATTGTTTATCATTGACCCACATACATATATAGTACTGTAATGTTATCCTGAGACAAAATTACACATTTCACAAAACAGTATATTACCAAAAAGGTATATTTTTGCTTGAAGTGCTTTTATTGGCATGCTATTATATAGCCTATAATTACTGTATTTCAGATAATAGGATGTTTACCTGGATAGACCCAGTGATGGTAGAATGATTACCATGAAGACAAGCAGTAAAAAGCATTTATGCATGGTGACCTGATTCTCACCGGACCTGAAAGAGACACACATAATAAGAAAATTCAACAGATTTCACCTCAACAAATAGAATAAATATATTAAATAATAATAAATAAACACATTTTCAGATGTTTACATGATGTATTATTCATTTCTCTTCTATTTTCACACCAGTTCTTCTATTAGACAGACATAAAACACAATTCTTGCCTCAAGTGGCATATTTCATGGTTAAAAAAAATGTAAATGTATGACGTAAATATTAAAATTAGATTTCATGTTGACTTGTGTATATTAATCATCAGTGTTTCCAGTGGAAATACAACAGATACTCAAGTGCTGCAGGTTTTGCAGTTGCACAATACAGAGGGTTTGATCCACATGAACTATAATGTGACTCTGTGAAAGACGCCGCCAGTGTGCATATGATTATTCCCTTGTTGTGATCACTATGACAACAAGCCTGGAGAGGCATGCGGAGAGAGCAGGAGAGAGGGACACCATGTAAACGTGTTGTGCATAGGTGGGTGGGAGACTGGGTTGGGGGTTGTTCTGCAGTTATGCAATATGTTTGTGCGCTGATATGAACATGTTTATGCAATAGATTTAAGCTGCAATGCAAATACAACTACCAATAGCACAAACTTATACTGCTCATTGGGACACTATCACTTTGATAAAAATCATGTATGACTTATTGTTTGACTTATTTGGATAAATGTCTTGGTGTTGTTGTTTATTTATTTTTTTACTATTCTTTTTTTCCATGCAATGCAAGTCAATGCAAACCAAAGCATGCTTGGAATGACTTGAGGATGAGTAAATGATGACAGAAGTTTCATTTTTTAATGAACAATCCCATTTATGTGTGTGTTGATAAATGTGTATGTGTGAGGAATGTCTTCCTAAATATATAAGGAAGGGGAAAAAGAACTTAGGCTGAAGCTGCTTCATGAATTTACTACACTGAACAAAATTCTGTTTTTGCCCCCATTTTTCATGAGCTGAACTCAAAGATCTAAGTATGTATTAAGTATATATTCCTATGTACACAAAAGGCATATTTCTCTCAAATATTGTTCACAAATCTGTCTAAATCTGTGTTAGTGAGCACTTCTTCTTTGCCGAGATAATCCATCCACCTCACAGGTGTGGCATATCAAGATGCTGATTAGACAGCATGATTATTGCACAGGTGTGCCTTAGGCTGGCCACAATAAAAGGCCACTCTAAAATGTGCAGTTTTATCACACAGCACAATGCCACAGATGTCGCAAGTTTTGAGGGAGCGTGCAGTTGGCATGCTGACTGCAGAAATGTCCACAGGAATGTGTAGAGTTATGAAGGATCATGTGACACTGAAAACTGGAGTAATGATGCTTAAAAATTCAGCTCTGCCATCACAGGAATACATTACATTTTAAAATATATTAATAATAATATTTTAAAATATGGCAATTTTTACTGTATTTTTGATCAAATAAATACAGCATTTGTGAGCATAAGACACCTACTAAAAAAAAAAAAATTACCAAACCCAAGTTTTGTAATGTATAATCCAGATGCATTATGATAATCAAAATCATGTTGTTTTAACATACAACTGGGATCATATTAGAAACTTTAAATTTGCATTAAATTAGTAAAAAAAAAACATTTTACTGTGTTAATAACACAATAATTATTTTTTATAATTATATTTACAGTACAACTCATTCACTTTAATGTATAATTGAGCTCCCTGTAGTTCTCTCACATTTATACACAGACTAGAGAAGTTTAAAGTCAGACGGAGAAAACGGCATCATACCTGGTCCAGTGGTACTCAAAAAAAGATGAATAGTACACAATGAAGGGCAGGAGAATGGAAAAGGCCCACAGGAGCAGGGTGGGGAAGAACTGGGTAATTACTGGGTTCTAGACAGTAGAAGACAGTAAAAGATCAAATTCAAAACATTCGACTTCCCAAAACAACACAAAAAAGCACTTTCGGTTTTATTTCGCATTCTAATGTGGCGTAATACAGCCGGACAGTTATAAAACGGCTTTGATGGTCACTGACCCTTAAGCTTTCAACCGGCCGAGTGACGTTGAACTTGTCCATAGTGTTTACGATGATAGCAGGGGTTGTGAGAAAGAAGAGCAAGAGGAAGAGCAGAATGTTGAGCAGGACGCAGCGGAGCCACCAGCGAGAACCGCACACTGACAGATTTTCCCTGGACGAACACAGGCACCAATCAACACGACAAGGTCTTAACTGCAGTTACAGGACAGACAGTGTGCACCCTCCAAGAGTAAGTGGGATGTTCAGCTACTATTACATAAACGGGAAGGTTTTTGCTGGAAAACCCAGGCTAAGCTGGTCAGCTAGTCTCCAAAACTGACCAAACCGGTGTTCAGCTGGTTTAGCCTGTCGGCCATCTGGTCTTCCAGCTCAAAACTGCCCCAAACTACGGTGACCGAGAAGTGCAAAGCAAATCACAATTCTGAAAACAAAATAACAAATTACAAACGCAAATGCAAGTCTAAAAAACAAAATAACAATTCAGAAAGCACAACAACAATTCAGAAAACATTATAACAATTCAGAAAACACAATGACAAATTCGAAAACAAAATAACAAGTCAGAAAACACAATGACAAATCAGACAAACCGGAAGAGGTAAGTATAGTTTGAGACAGCATCATTGGTTGGGGATTACTCACCGCTGACTGGACGAAACATCTGTCAATCAACGTATACAGGAAGAACCAGCCGAAGAACAGTAGAGTTGTGGTAAAAAGTTCGGAGATGGTATTAAAGTAGCTCAGTTTAAATGTATTGTATGAATATGTATAATATGAATATGGAATAAAAAATACGGAGTGAATATTTACATTTAGTTAAAAGTGGTTTTTAAACATCAGCTCCAGTGGTGTAGATGGATAAGTGCGTGTTGTTGGCTTTTTGACGCGATCGAACCGGGTTCGATCCCGCCTTTTGCAGAACTTTTTTTCCCTCCCTTTTCAAACCTCGTATCACATCGTAAAGGCATTTATTCCACGACTCTGCTGTTCTTCGGCTGGTTCTTCCTGTATACGTTGATTGACAGATGTCTCGTCCAGTCAGCAGTGAGTAATCCCAAACCAATGGTGCTGTCTCAAACTATACTTACCTCTTCTGGTTTGTCTGATTTATCATTGTGTTTTCTGATTTGTTATTTTGTTTTCGAATTTGTCATTGTGTTTTCTGACTTGTTATAATGTTTTCTGAATTGTTGTTGTGTTTTCTGAATTGTTATTTAGTTTTTTAGACTTGCATTTGCGTTTGTAATTTGTTATTTTGTTTTCAGAATTGTGATTTGTTTTGCACTTCTCGGCCACCGTACCAAACCCTTCAAAAACTAGCAAAGTGTCAGAAATCCCTCTGAAACAAGCTTAGGGCAGTTAAAGTTTTTTTTTTTTTTTTTAATCGGTGACTACGGAAAAGTTTATACTCTTGGCCCTGTAAAGCCTGACATACGAAATAAGAAAAAAAATATATATTTTGAAATGGAATCAAAAAATGTGTTTTGAGTATAATATTTTATACATCAGGCTTTTATATCTCATATTGTATAATACAGGAAAATATGAAACTCATAGAGGGGAAAAAATGCCTACATTTTATTTAGAGGACCAAATGGAGCAAAAATATGATGCAGTTGAGTGATATTTATATGGTTATAAAACAATATGACATTCTGATAGCTTGTAATGTAAATCAATAATGAGATTTTTTAAAAGTCATTCTTACATTTACTTAAAAAAATTATTAAAAGTTTCACAGCAAAATATGTACCACAACCTAAAAGACCTTTATAAAAACTAAAAGTTCTTTACTACTAAAATACCTTTAACTTATAAAAGCATTATATATATATATATATATAAAACAATGAACAATGTATTTCTACAGCATTTATTCATCTTTGTTAATATTAGTTAATAAAAATGTTCAAGTTCATATTAGTTCACAGTACATTAACTTATGTTAACAGATATAACTGTATTAACATATTTTAATAATGTATTAGTGAATTTTGAATTTAGTATTAACTAAGATTAATAAATGCTATATATGCTATATGCATATTGATCATGTTAACTAATATAGTTAATGTAAAAAAAATGAAACCTTGTAAACTGTTAAAAAATTTGTTTTACATATAATGAAAATAAATGAGGTCCAGTGTTGTTTTGAATCCCTTTGACTTTCATTATATGAACTTGAAACAAAATATCTTCTTTTGTATCGTATATTGTGTCCCACAAAAGAAAAATATGATTTTTTTGGTGACCTGTCACTTTAAGTAATAGCAATGCACATAAAAGGCATAAAAATGAGAATGAGGTTTACATAAAATGCAAACAAATTCCTTTCAAAAGTAATTGTTTCCACTGAATAATTTTCCAAAATTGCAAAACCATTTACTCTATAAATGCAGTGGTACAAAACATCGAACTCACGGGCTACACTGAACTGGAAAACATTCACACTTCAATAAATAGTTTTAATAAGAAGCAAACATGCTACAACATTAGAGCTTATATCCATAAAAAAGAAAGTCTTGAATTCAGACACACACACACACACACACACACACACACACACACACGCACACACACACGCGCACACACTTGTCCACTCAAGCAGAAAGACAGGCTGACACTGCCCCCCCCTACACACCCACCCACACACACTCACTCAATATATGATTCTCAACACATATTATGTAAGAGATATAATGGCTTTTACAGTGGCTGTCTAGGCACACACTCAGATTGAGACTTAATTAATCCAATTTCATCTCTCAAATCCAAGTGTAATGGCCTGGAACAAAGCATGTCATGAAAAATATATATGACTTCAGCTTGCAAGATCACTGTATACTTAGTAAACTTTAAATAAAACATCATATAAAACATTGTAAATCCAGATCATTTCATAGAAGAAAAAACAACACTGCGGTCATTCCTGTACTTTTTTTGTTTTGTTTCAAGATATAGTTGTTGATGTGGCTATCGTTTCGACTTACCAGATGATGTCATTAGGGGCCGGGGCGTAAGAAACGCCCCACTGATGGGACCGCACCACTGTGGTAATGCTGGACTGCTGGGGTCTGTGGCGGCAGCGAGCTCGGCTGTAGTCTTTCACAATACTAAAGAAACATAAGCACATAGTTTAAATGTATTTTAGCAATAAGGCACGAGAGAACATGTGAATATATATTATACTATATTGACCAGACAAAAGCTAGGACCAGAATGAACTGTTTATATAGCCTATATATAAATTTGTTTATTATGTTATACTATATAAAGGCTTGCAAAGGTTTGGTAGGAAGGAGTTTAAGGCCCTGTCCACACGAACACGGTTATTTTTAATACCGCAGCTTTTTCTACGCGGTTTGGCTGTTCGTCCACACGCAAACACAGCACCAGTTCACTGAAACCGAACATTTTTGAAAACGCCTGCCAGGGTGAAAATTTTCAAAAACTCCGGTTGCAGTTACCGGAGTTTTTGGCTTGTGGCACCTGCACTGTTATCTCCGTCTACTGCAGACTTTTTCAGGCTTCTGATTGAGATTATATCACCACCTGTTGGTTTGGCATGCTCTTGACAGTGCTTCATTCATAGCATGCGTTTGCGTTTTCATGTGGAAGGAGATTTTTCTAAAAACGGAAGGAAAAACTCTGTTTATAAAAATACCCGTGTATGTGTGGACATGGCCTAATAGCTTCTGTTTAACATATTTGATGTGCTCTATGTACCACATGTGTGTTGATCAATGTTTATATATATGAAGCAATCATTTCAGAACTGCTCAATTCATATGGATTACTTTTACGATGTCCTTGTGAACTTTTTGAAGCATAAAAGTTTTGGTGAACAGGACTTTCATTGAAGGGAGAGAAATCTGTCAGATTCCATTCAAAATAACTTTTTTTTTTTTTTTTAGATGTTTTGAAGATGAACAAAAGTATTTTGGGTTTGGAATGACAAGAGAGTGAGTAAATGTTAAACTTATTTTTGGGTAAACTATCCCTTTAATGATAATAAGTTTTAAAAAAAATGTAATAGGAAAGAGTATTTCTAATTAGCATAGGATAATTCTATACTTTGTGCTGGAAAGTTCTTGAACTTATTTTTATAACTTTAAAAAAAAAATAACCTGACAGAAATCAAACTGTTGATAGATCAGACTGTACCATAAAGTATCAAACTGTACATAATTTTAGATTTGGTAATAATACCTTATTTATTGAAAATAATTTTTTGAAAATTACTATATATATATATAATTAGAAAATAACCTGTTTTTTCCTTCTAGAGTGTTTGAACCTTCTGTAATAGTTGCATGTGAGTCCCTCAGTTGTCCTCAGTGATGGATCTCAAAATCATACAGTCATTGTTGGAAAGGGTTCAAATACACAAAAATGCTGGAAAACCAAAGAATTTGTGGGACCTGAAGGATTTTTCTGAAGAACAGCAGGAAGTTTAACTGTCCAGGACAAACAAGGGACTCATGAACAACTATCACTAAACAAACAAAAAACAAAACAGCTGTGGATCATTCAGGTAACAACAGTATTAAGAATCAAGGGGATGTAAACATTTGAACGGGGTCATTTTTATAAATTCAACTATTATTTTCTCTTGTGGACTGAACATCTCTTATTCAGGTCAGTACTAAATAAACAATAACATGCATTTTGTATGCTCCCTCTTATTTTGGTAAAATAATTAACATTTTGCCGATTCTGAAAGGGGGATGTAAACTTTTGACCTCAACTGTAACTCAGCAAATGTGCTTCATGCTAATACATTACCTTTTTATTAAAAATACTTTCATATTCTTAAATGTAGGTACTCATTCCCATGCTTACAGCATCTCTCGACGAATGATACTTATTCTCAGTAATCACCTCAATAATCAGCTAGTTATCCATGTGACTTACACGGCAGTCATTCTCTCATCTCTGAAGGTAACAAAGGCAATGCCCAGCCTCTTCATAGAGATACGGTTCTTCTCTGCATTAAACTCATCTGTCAGTTTCTCCTCCAGTTCACTGTAATACTGCTCTGCATCCACCTGACGAAAATGACAATGACATAAAACATGAGAGATGTGTATCACATCTCCTCGCAGAGCAGTTCATGGCTGGCGGTTGGTGTATGGTGGTCTCCAGTGGCCAACATGAGGAGGTGCAGTTCCAGCCGTTCTATATGTATACAATCTGTACACATACAAATATATCCATTCTGACAACTATAATGACTATGTGAGGGACGTTTACCTGTTCAAAGCCACATAAATCACAGCAGAAGATCTGTGCACAAGGGTGAGTCTTTATCATGATCCTGCCTTCCTTCTGAGCTTTGGTTGTGAAGTACAGCCTTCCTTTCATTGCTTTTCGCCTGTACAGGATATAGTTTTAATAGGGTTTAATATGCAATATTTGCAGACTCAGCTCTATGTCATGCAGCAGATGTGCAAAACGCAAATTACCTTTCTGAGTCCAGCTTCATTAGTTTTTGTACATCAAAGCAGAACCGGATATCAGTGACGGTGCAGCTAGGGTAGGCTTCACTGTTTGGCGATAGAAGAGACAGAAAATTGAATGCCCTCAGTTGTGTTGACATATAATATCAGATATGCTGAAATATGGAGATCAAGCAATAGTTGTAATTCTGTGGATAACAGATCTGTGCTCTTCACTCACTGCAGGTGTTTGGTGATCAGGCCGGGATCAGAGATTTCTCTGGGAATTGAAGTTATCATTAGAGTTCTGACCACCTGCAGTAATAATAAATCAAAAATTAAAGCTAGAAGTGCATTTTTTGAAGAAATACAGTGCTTTACAGCACGGTAGCACTGAAATACAGCCAACAAACGAACAGTGTTGAGGTTTTTTGGTAGAAACTGTTTTTTGGTTTTTCTTTTTTCTTTTCTTTTTTTTTTTGAATGGTGAACACTACATATTTTTAAAAAATAATAATAATAAAGTTTCTTTGTTTGCATATATGGTTCCATGAAGAACCTTTAAAATTCATGGAACCTTTTGACTGCACAAAAGTTTCTTTATAGTGGAAAAAGGTTTTAAAATATACTTCACAGTTTTTTTCACTGAAAGAGTGGGGGAGCTAAAAACGGTTCTTCTATGGCATCTCTGTGAAAATCCACTTCTGGAATCTTCAGTTTTAAGAGTGCAATGAAAGATCATCTATCTTTTATTTAATTTTTAAAGTGAATATCACATTTTTCACTCCATTGTCAAAATCGTAATGTAAAATAATATATATATATATATAATTTAAATAGTTTAAACTGTAGAAGTATTTATTCTTCATATTGTTGCAGTACATTTAATTTTAATTTTTTTAATTTTAAATAGTTAAATTTAAAATAAAATAAAACAAAGTATAAAATACTAGTTGTCCAGTCAGGATGATTTTCATTATTGTTTTACCTTATATAGAATCTATTGAGAAACAGTACAAATAATTACAATTGCAGACAAACACACATCTGAAAGCATTTCTGAAATAAGAAAATTGCTTATTTGTAATGAAAGCACATCACAATTCCCCCCCAAAATCTAATGTATGTAAAAACATGTCTTTATATTTTTATATATAATTTATAAAATTTTATTAGTAATTATTTATTAATAATAATTTTTCTTTAAATTTAGGTTTCCTTTTAAATTTGAATAAAAAATATAATTAGTAAGAAATAATTATTCATAAAATTATATTTATTTATTTATTTTAAAATTCTAAATTATATATAAATATATGAAGCCTATTTTAGACCTGTTAAAAGCACTGTTAAAAGCAGTACCCCTTATGGACCAGAAATGTGGTGTAATAACACATGCGCACGAATACAGCTTTTCACCTACCTTCTCATCATCTCTGTACTCCAGTCGTGAGGAATGATGGGCCATGCACAGTACTGTGATCACAAAATACAGCAGAGCAAAGATGCTGTGCAGCCACAGAAATATATTCCTAATGCACGAAGAAAAGAAAGTTATCAAGATCATGCCAACAACTTCATGAACATGTACATGCACAACAAGGATATATGCTTTTCAGGTCTACATTCATCCTAAAAAACAAACTTACTGTGCGGGGACATTAACCACTGTTGTTCGGCCGAAATTCTGTGGGCTATCTCCTGAAAAGTATAGAAATAAACAACTTCATGCTCTTCTCACATACCAGCATCAAAAATAAAACTCTGAAAGTAATTTGAGGCCTGTGTGGTACAGCGCAAAGTGAATGTGAAATAAAAAACTCGTTACACCTCAATCATTATGCTTTGGGTTTGGTTGCTATGACAAATTTGTAAATGTACCGGTTTATTTCACAAATACAGTGTCAAATTGTTGCATAGAGATCGTCAAAGCAAGTAAGTAAGCGTTAAAACCCCCACCCTGTTTTAACCAGCCGGCCCCAAAGCTGCACCACAAACTGGTCTACCACACATCCACATTTAACACATTTAGAGGACCCCAGTAAACTTCTGCCACCAAGGTCGTATGAAAGTCATATGAAAAGCTTATTGCAGGTCCGAAAACAACAAGAGGTAAAGCCAGTGGCTTTCACAATGCTCTTCTTGTGGCGTGGAAAGTCAAGGCCATACCCATATTTAACTTGGCCCTTCTAACCCTCTATCGTGCCTCCCAACCATCTTCAAACACTGTAGGGTGGTCTGAATTATGCTTTTACACACGTCCACTAATGGAGGGTTAAGACTGAGCTCTTCTACATCTTCAAGAGTTTTCCCAGGCTTTTCATAAACTCATTCATCGACAGGCCCACACGGAATCTGCATCCGCAAATGTTACACATTCTCCCAGCTTTGTGCCTTTTTTAAATTGTAGAACTTTCAGCTACATTTAATACATTTTAGCATGTTAAAATACATTCAGCAGAATTCCCTCCAAGTCAATACAGAAAATGTACATTGCCGTCAAAAGTTTGGGGTCAGTAAGATTTGTTGTTTTTATCTCTTATGTTTACAAAAATACAATAAAAACAGTGGTATACTTAAGTATTATTATAGTTTAAAATTACTGTTTCAATTTTGATACATTTTAAAATATAATTCATTCCTGTGATGGAAAAGCTGAATTTTCAGGAGCCATTTCTCCAGTCTTCAGCCTCACATGATCCTTCAGAAATGATCTAATATGCTGATTTGCTGCTCAAGAAACTGTTCTTATTATTATCAATGTTAAAAACATATTATATTTTGTTGGACACCGGACTTCAGGATTCTTTGAGGAATAGAAAGTTTAAAAGAACAGCATTTATTCAAAATAGAAATCTTACTGACCTCAAACTTTTGAACAGTAGTGAATATATTCACTCTAACACTAACAATCTGTCAAAACTAATTCAAGAGATTATTCTGAAGACTCTTTTTTAGGTGCAAGCACACTGATGAATTAAGATGTAATGTTATTTTAAAGTTTACTGCCTTTTCCTGGATACCAAACGTGTTGTGTCTGTTGTCATGAATCCTTTATGGCTGAGCACTATTAGAGTAAATAGTAACCAAGCAGTTATGGATCTGGTGGAGGTACCGAGGAGGTTCCCAGAGAGGTTGACAGGCAAGATGATGGTGAGCGACAGCAAACACACCACCATCATGAGCAGGATGATGTGACGCTGGAAAGACAGGTACGTGATCGCATCAATGCCACATTTACTGCGGATCTCTTCATCCCTACAGGAAGAATAAGGACAAAAACGTCTATTTAAAAAAAGCCTATTTACAATTGCTTTTTTTATTTGGCAGACACGTTTATCCAAAACCAACTAATATATGCATCAGTATGTGGAAAGAAAGAAAGAAAGAAAGAAAGAAAGAAAGAAAGAAAGAAAGAAAGAAAGAAAGAAAGAAAGAAAGAAAGAAAGAAAATCCTACTTTGGATTTTGGCATCTTCTGTTATTGCGGTTCAACCAACATGCAGAACCAAACAAAACAAAACAAAACAAAGCGAAACGAAACGCAACGCAACGCAAAACACAACACAACACAACACAAAGCAAAGCAAAACAAAAAACACAACAAAGCAAAGCAAAGCAAAACAAAACAAAGCAAAACAAAAAGCAAAGCAAAACAAAACAAAAAACACAAACCAAACAAAAAACAAAACAAAACAGTCTCTCATGACATGGTCAATAAATCTCTTAAAATATCAGATAATTTGTCCTTTTTACAAAGGTTGTAAAAAGCCATGTGTTGCAAGTCTCTAAAGGCCCGTTCACACCAAGCACGATAACTATAAAGATAACGATAACGATATAGTTCTAAAAATCGTTCTCAATATTAAAGAATAGCATAGTTCACACCACAACTATAACGATAACGATACAAAGGAACGATATCGTTGTGATCACTTTCAAAACGATTTTTTTCCAGTTGATGAACGATAAAACACTGACAGCCAATCAGAATCCATCCTGCTGTAACAAGCTCAAGAATTTAAAGAGGCAGACGCGCGTGCGCTTAACAGACGATATCGTTCGCTGGTGTGGACGCTAATATCGTTATCTTTATAGTTATCGTTCTTGGTGTGAACGGGGCTTAATCGTTATTTATGAATTAATAATTCATGATATTTGTAAAACATACTTTTTATTAATATTTTTTTGGAAAATAATGTTTTTTTTTTCTCACATAGAAAATGTTTTCATACTTTTATTACTTGATGGTTCCAGTACACCACATGACATTTTAGAATTAGTAAATTGAGGCTTTTCTTGAAAATCAGACTACTTCAAATGTTTGCGGTCAGTATGCTTTCTATTCATCAAAGAATTCTGAAAAAATTTATCACAATTTCCACAAAAAACATTCAACAGCTGTTTCCAACATTATAATAATAATAAATGTTTCTTTAGCACCAAATCAGCATATTAAAGTGATTTCTGAAGGATCATTTGATGCTGAAGAATGGAGTAATGGCTGCTAAAAATTCAGCTTTGCCATCACAAGAATAAATCATATTTTTACAATGTTTCAAAATAGAAAACAGTTGTTTTAAGTTGTAATAATATTTTAAAATTAAAAAAAAAAGTTTTTACTGTATTTCTGATACATGATTAACATAAAAGAAAAGCATTTAGAAATCTCACCGACCCCAAACGTTTGAATGGTAGTGTATATTCAAGTTTTTCAAAACCACATGAAACCAACATGAAAACAAACATGTGGCACACGTTTCTTTCTTTCCTTGTAAAAGATTTTTCTTTTTTTTTAATCGTGAACATATTATTGACCCATGTGCATTCTCTAGGAATCAAACCTATGACTATGGTTTTGCTAGATCTGCACTAGTTGTACTAAACAGCAAACACAATCTCTTTGAGAGTTTTCAGAGTGTTTCCAATGAATTATTGACTTCGGTCAATAATATATATGTGTCGGCCTTTTTAAAAGACCACACAAATATATGAGGGCATTGGGGACTATTATGATTACAAGGAGCCCTCATACACACACAAACACACACACACCCCTCCGTCCTCGCCTCACACAGAGCGAGGAAATTCTCAGCGTGGCCTCTCGGTCGCCGAGGAGTTCAAGAAGCTTTTAAGGGAACCAGCTAAATATGGCACCAACATGCCATTTGAGTCGTCCAAATAACATCTCTGCAACCGTGGAGACAGACTAGCGGCTGGTTTATGGTTCTGAAAGGCCTTTGAGCGTGCCCAGACGTTAGACGTGCTGGTCCACCTTCACCCTGTGTTTCCCCTTCTTAATGAGATATAACATGAGCAAACAGGACGCTGGCTGATGACATCACCATGCACTTCTTGCACACTTACTTCATGTGGTACAGAGATGTGAGCCAGGAACAGAAGCCCTATAAAGAGAGGGAGGGAAGACAACGGTGTCATAAAAAGGTCTGGCATATAAAAAAAGAGAGCGTCTGGCTAGCTTAGCATCTGTCAGAATCATTTGTCCTTTAAGTGAATGCGGATAGCGTAACAAGTGGAAAAAGCCATGCGAATGCATGCAATATCTTTAACGTGGCTGTGATGTCTTGAACTGTCATTGCACATAAAACACAAGGAGACAGAGTGAGGTCAGAATATAAACAGACAGATAGTGTGCATAAAAGAAAATAGCGTCTAAGTGCACAGGCTATTTTATATGACATCAGCTCTGGGGCGACGCTCCGTAATAACCCACGTCGACAGATTGAACTTTGTGTGTGCCTCTGTATGTCTTTACGTTTCAGTGGTAGTAAATTTGCATCACTGTGAATGAATATGACATTAAAAACACAATCTATTAGTTGTACTCATGCTTTTATTTGTTTCTAGGCAGGGGTGTCGTTGATAACGACAAGGCCCTGTGGGTTTTTGCACTGCCAAATGTTGTAAATTCTAGCAAAGATCCTGTTTCTGCATGATCAAATATTTCTTAAATGTCTGTGATGCTGTCTGTCTCTTTCTTCTCTTTTACAAAAGGTTCTCACCATGTCCTTGGTCTCTGAGTCTGATGGGCTGGATTCTGACGGGGTTTTCTCTTTCTCACTTTGTTCTCCATAGAATAGTGATGTCAAGCTATAGAACAAAGACAAACAATAAAAATGACAGGTAACACTTAAACAACTAAATATTTCACACACTGTTAGAAAACTCTATTATACTAGACTGGGGCAAGTTATCAGGTTTACTACATATTTTTCAAGATGGGTATATTTTGGATTATTAGAAAATATTATGAATACTTTAAATGTTAATATCAAATATTAATAATATTAAATCTTTCTCATAATGTACTAACCCTTGGCTACAAAAAAGCTATTGAATATTTTCCATAACTGCCCAAGAAAAAGATACGAGTTAATTTAACTCACACAATAACATTGTTTGAAATATAAACTTCCATCGAAATTCAAAAGCCAAGTTCTATATTTCTGTATTAATATATTATACAGTAGGCTATTTAATAGCTTTTCAGCAAAAATAAAAAGTAGAGCAACTGGACCACATTCAGTTCACTCAACCACCACACAGTTGTTCAATTATTTACATCTTAATGCATTCTTCAAACAATCAACAGTTCTGAGATGATACCTGTCATTTTCCATAAGCAGAGCCAGGCGGCCGTAGTCCCACGCTGCCTTCCTCAAACAGGAGAAGATCAGAAGCAGGAACTAAAACACAGAGACACCAAACCAGTTATATCAGCATACATATTGTGTTTTAAAGTGGCCTTAATAAAAAATTTTTTAAAAGTAATTTACAGGGAAACTGTTAGTAAATGATGTGCACAGTGAACCTGATCTCATATAGAGAATGTGAATAATCCAGATTATAGTCACTGCGACACTTTAAATGTGTCAAAGCTATTGATATAAATAGAGTAAGAACTATTTATGTAAGCAAGCACTCACTAGACCCCTGGCCAGCAGTAATAATTAGCCATTTCTTTGTCCGGAGAGAGACAATGTAATTAAGTATTAAATTATATTTAATATGAAACGTAGTGCAGTAAAAAGTACAATATTATGCTTTGGAATGTTGTGAAGTAAAGTTTTCTAAAGAAAAACACAAAGTACAGACACCTGAAAATTATTTTTCAGCAGAGTAAAAATACTTCACTACTGTCCGCCTCTGCAAAGGTGTAGCTATACCTTTTGAAAAGGTATCAAATGAAGTACAGAGTATTTAACTAAAAAGACCATCAGGTCTTCATTTATCTATCTATTTATCTATCTATCTCTAGAAAAGCCTAGCAACTAGCCTAGGAAATGCTAACAAACAACATGTTAAATCATGCTAGCAACATGTTAAAAAACATGCTAGCAACAACTAAAACATATTAGCTATGTGCTAAAAACATATTTGCTTTTTCAAACATTTAAGGCTTTCTCAAGCCAACATAAAAGTTTGTCCTAACAAATTTACTCTCTAGTTTTGTTATGGCACAGTGAAAATAAATTCATGAAATAAATCCCATCATTATAACAAGATCATATAAATTAAATCAATTCAGTCTCAACAATTTTTTTTTGTCTGCTTGCAGGTTTAATATTTTATCAGTACTATTAAAAATTAGAGCTGTCGATAAATTAAAAATGTTCATTAAATTAATAATATGCGGATGAATTGATTGAATTACAGTTACTCATATATCAATATTTGCAGAGAAAAGCCACCAAATAAAGATGAATCAAACACATTACATTATTGTGGCAGATGAGTAAATCTTTAGAAGAATAGTTTGACTAACTTAAAGTCAGGCAATTAGCTTATTTCATATTCTAGCTTGTCGTCATCTTGACAAATGTTTTCATTTGTCACACTTCTGACATGACTAGATCAGAAATTGGAATATGAATATACAAGGTCCAAGATCCCAAACAAATACTAATTACTAATCATCATTATGGCATATTAAGACAACCTTATAATGTGAATTATATAATATATTATTACTGTAATGTTAGCATCATTCTGCTGTTCATTCACAGTCTGAATACAGTAATTTATTTTTTTAAATAATACTCTTTAATCCTGTAAATTCCTGGTAATTTTTTACAGTGTGATCTACAGTCCACAGCAATCAGTTTTGCAATTGGGTTTGTCAGTCTGGTCATGGCTTTGTTTTAGAGAGTGAGAGGCCACTCCAGATCATTTTGTGCTGGTATCAGGTCACAGTCTCCTGTATCCTGTACACAAACTTCCTCCTTCTTCCCCCAGTCAAACAGTCATACGATAACTAACTTCACCACTACAACACACATGCCACCCAGCATCTGGCTCTTGTATATACAGACGCGAATAATACAATTTGGAATGGAACTTCCAGTTCACAGAATATACACTGCTCAAAAGAATTAAAAGAACGCTTTGAACATCAGATCTCAATGGGGAAAAATATCATGCTGGATATCTATACTGATATGGACTGGGTAATGTGTTAGGAACGAAAGGATGCCACATCGTTTGATGGAAATGAAAATTATCAACCTACAGAGGGCTGAATTCAAAGACACCCCAAAAATCAAAGTGAAAAAATTATGCAGCAGGCTAGTCCATTTTGCTGAAATTTCATTGCAGCAACTCAAAATGGTACTCAGTAGTATGTATGGCCCCCACGTGCTTGTATGCATGCCTGACAATGTCAGAGCATGCTCCTAATGAGACGATGGATGGTGTCCTGGGGTATTTCCTCGCAGATCTGGACCATCAGTGAGCTTCTGGACAGTCTGAGGTGCAACCTGGTGGCATCGGATGGACCGAAACATAATGTCCAAGAGGTGTTCTATTGGATTTGGTAAGGCGAGCGTGGGGGCCATTCAATGGTATCAATTCCTTTATCCTCCAGGAACTGCCTGCATACTCTCGCCACATGAAGCCGGGCATTGTCTTGCACCAGGAGGAACCCAGAATCCACTGCACCAGCGTAGGGTCTGACAATGGGTCCAGACAATGGGCTGGGCTCTGGGTCTGGCTGTGCTCTGGATCGGGGTAGACTCCCTCCAGCACAATCTGGTGGTGTCTGGAAGGTCGACGGGGCGGTAGTAGTTGGCCCCGATCCAGAACATGGAGTTCAGCGCAGCGTCGTCAAACGAGCTGGCTGAACTCCACAGCATACTTCAAGAGGGAAAGGTCCTTGTGGGCGAGGGAGGTAAACTTGACAGTGAGGGAATGCATGGAGAAGGGAATCCATGGAGGGGAAACACGTTGTTAAACAGTTTGTGGGTCCGGTCTTCTGTCACGATACACTGCCGGAAGGAACAAAGGAGCCGTGGATAAATTAAACTGATTTATTCAATCCAACACACAGAGTAAATCCACACTTGGAAGGGAAGGAAGACACACGTACACAACTGGTAGATCCGACAAACACAGACTGAACAGACTGGGGCTTAAATACACGGGATAATGAGGGAATTGGGAGGAACACAGGTGAACAGAATGACTAATTAGACAGACAACAAGGACAGGAACAGGAACGACCAAATAAGGGCACATGAGGGAGCAACTGGGTCACGGGGAGCACATGGGGAACAAAACACAAAGATAGTCCAATCCTGACAATGGCAGTCAGGGTGCCATGGTCTAGCCTGTAGAGGTCTGTGCGTCCCTCCATGGATATGCCTCGCCAGACCATCACTGACCCACCACCAGACCGGTCATGCTGAATGATGTTACAGGCAGCATAACGTTCTCCACGGCTTCTCCAGACCCTTTCACATTTGTCACATGTGCTCAGGGTGAACCTGCTCTCATCTGTGAAAAGCAAAGGGGGCCAATGGCGGTCCTACCAATTCTGGTGTTCAATGGCAAATGCCAATCGAGCGCCACGGTGCTGGGCAGTGAGTACAGGGCCCACTAGAGGACATTGGGCCCTCAGGCCACCCTCATGAAGTCTGTTTCTGATCGTTTTGTCAGAGACATTCACACCAGTGGCCTGCTGGAGGTCATTTTGTAGGGCTCTGGCAGTGCTCATCCTGTTCCTCCTTGCACAAAGGAGCAGATACCGGTCCTGCTGATGGGTTAAGGACCTTCTACGGCCCTGTCCAGCTCTCCTAGAGTAACTGCGTGTCTCCTGGAATCTCCTCCATGCTCTTGACACTGTGCTGGGAGACACAGCAAACCTTCTGGCAATGGTACGTATTGATGTGCCATCCTGGAGGAGTTGGACTGCCTGTGCAACTTCTGTAGGGCTCAGGTATCGCCTCATGCTACCAGTAGTGACACTGTCCCTATAGTCAAATGCAAAACTAGTGAAAAACAGTCAGAAAAGATGAGTAGAGAAAAAATGTCAGTGGCCTCCACCTGTAAAAGGTGTTGTTACTCATTGTTGCCCATCTAGTGCACCTGTTGTTAATTTCATTAACATCAAAGCAGCTGAAACTGATTAACAACCCCCTCTGCTACTTAACTGACCAGATCAATATCCCAGGAGTTTAATTGACTTGATGCTGTACTGATTAAAAAGTGTTCTTTAAATTGTTTGAGCAGTGTATATGACTCATACAGCATACTACAATTTAGACAACATTTCAAGTCCATTGTTAATTTTATTTTTCAAAACAATTTTCTTTAGAAATATTATACAATTTAAAACAAAAACAATCCAATCCAATAATTTTATATTAAATATAAAAATTTGAATATCTTTACATTTAGCTAACAGTTATAAATACATAGCTCTTAAAATACAGTGATATTACTCAAGTAATATCAAACCATGTTTACATTGCAATATATGGTCACAAAGCAAGGCCAGACACAACAGGTAAGTGCAACACAGGATGGTTTATTGACTGGGTAAGTGGATGACCGGAATAGGTGAGTTAAAGGCAGGTGAATGTCAACACAGTGAATGGTTCCAGGGGGCTTATCGGAGTTCTGATGGAGAGGATCGTAAGCCGGTTACGTTGGAGATCGTGGAGCCGTTTCCACAGAGTCATTGGAGGATCGTGGGAGGAACAGCAGGTAATTCGTTCTAGGAGAATTTGGCAGAGAGAGAGTCCAGAGTAGTTCATAGAAATGAACGGTAGACCAGACCGTGAGTGACTGTGCTGTGTGTGTATTTGTAGTGTGGCTTGATTGGTGACAGCAGGTGCGGGTGATCAGAACTCAGGTGCCTGTGATCGGGTAATTATCCTAGATGGTGACTGAAGTGACTGTGATGAATCCCTGACAATATAAAGCTTGGTATCTAAATAGGGTTGTACAGCAAGCAACCAGTATGAAAAATATTGTTGATAGAAAATAATGCAACATCCCACATAATTCACTACTTTACTACTGTCAGCTCAAACAAATAACCATTAGCACCCAAGGACGCTGCACTGTCGCTGACAAAGATGAGTTCTTCCAGTCGGACAGATGGTGCATAGATGGCTCTTTTGTTTTATAGTCTGACTCCCATCTTCTGGCCATAGGTTAGGGGAAAAAAACAAAAACAGCCTATGCAGCACACATTCTGTCACAGGTTAAGGAATCATTAATATTACAAGTAAACAATCGCTTCCGCAAAAACGTGCATACACATGGTATACTATATAATGCTGTACAACACATAAATAAACAAAATGCCGTACTAAAATACATTATTTAACATTATTTCACCAATAATATAAACCGTAATATTGAAGTAATGGGAGATAAACTATGTCATATTCCTCCAAATTAAGGGTCATCTCACTCTAATAGGTGTTTGTTTGTAGTTTACTTGAAAAGACAACGAATAACAGAAGAAACACATAAGTGTCTGTAGTCCCATGGCTGTGGGGTGAGCAGCTGGAGATGCAAAGAGCTAAAGCCACCTGCACTCCTGATGAAATGCTGAAAAATGACACAAAGACACCTCTCATGCAGCAGAGAGTCACTGGGTGTAAACCCAACCAGAGCTTTCTGGTTCAGTACAAACAGACACTTCAATGCTGCTCACAATCGCAAGGCAGTGCAAAGGAAATCATGATGTTCTTCACACTAAACTCAACATATGCTGAAGTTTGAAAATAGCAAAAATAAAAATCACAATCATAAAAAAATATAAATGTATCAGGATCATTCTCTGAAAACATTTGTGACAAAAAGTGTTTTTTTAGCATATGTAAAATAGATACAGTGTATATGTGTATCCATAATGGAGTCATACTACAATACAATCTTAAAAACAAAAAAAATTACAAAGATAAAAAAAAAATAGATTGAGTTTGAATTTAAGAAAATGTTTTATTTTGCTCATGTCCACAAATGTCTGTCTACTACTGAGCGAACAACCTAATGAACAACTAAAAATATGTTTATCACAACACCATGCAGCCAGAATCATATGATATTTTCTTCTGTGGTGGACATTTTGAACACATTATTGTAAGTGGTTTTGTCCTCTTGATCTTTTCTCAGAGAACTTTGTTGAGAAATTTCCCCAAAAGGGTGGTACAAAAAAATTGCATACGCCAGTGCCATGTTGATACGTGATCCACAAAATATTAGATTATCTTGTATTGTTTTTTGTGTTTTTTTAACATTTATTTATATATATATATATGATGCCTTTGGGCCCGAAATTCAATATTAGATTGCCCTGACTTCTGAACCACAAGAATCAACTACAGTGCTTGTCCACACAGTAAAACCATTTGTCAGCTGAAGTCCCATTACCTGCTTGAGCAAGCACATGAACTTGGAGTATGTATGAAAAAAGGAGAAAGACCTGAGACAGCAAAAGGCAAGACATAAATAATACTGTGAACTCGAATCAACTCATTTAATGAAAGATAAAAGTGTCATGCCCCCATGAAACGACTAACGATTACCTTTGATAAAACAATATCAGAGTCTGATGGCTCTAGCGGGGAGATCAGTGAGTCATGATTCAACATGCTTTTATCTTCACAGTACTTCTTGTTTGTGTTGTGCATGCATCTCTTACTGCAAAGTCACTGAATGTAGGTTACATTTCTGTTTCCTCCAAATCAGCTCTCAGATCCTGAGGGCTCCTGAGTACAAATGAGTCACAGCGTCATATTTCAGAATGAATTCTTATTGCAATCGCTCTATGCGTTTTGGAAGTAATCTTGCTTCCCAAATAGAGAGGTGCAGGCTACTGCTATAACAGCTTTCTTGTGGTTTTTATTTGAGAAAAAAATTTACAAATACATTTATAGCTTATTCAAGATTATTAAGCAATTATTAAGCAAATTAAGCAATTATTAATAAGCAATGAAGCATTCTAAATTTTTAGAACAAAATATTTACAATTTATAATATATATATATATAGTGAAATATTATTACAATTTCAAATATTGCTGCAAAACTGAATTTTAATTCAATTTTTTAATTTTAAATAAATGCTGATCTTTTTATTTACATAAGAATTCTGAAAAAAGTATCACAGATTACAAAAACATAAATAATAAAAATAAGCACCACATCTGTATCCAACACTAACAATAAATCAGCATTAGAGTGATTTCTGAAGGATCAAATTCAGCTTTATATCACAGGAATAAATTATATTCTATTTTTATTTTATATAGTATACTAAAATAGAAACTGTTACTTTAAATTGTATAATATTTCACAATTTTACCTTTTTTCTGTATTTTTGATCAAATAAAAGCAGCCTTGATGAGCATAAGAAACTTCTTTGATAGATAAAAATTGATAAAAATGACTAATATACGTACATATTTGTGTGTGTGTTAACATGAAATATTAATAAAAAAATATTCTAATCTACGTATGTTTTCTTTCAATAATCAATTTTTAAATAAGAATGTATATATTAATTCAATTTAACTGTATTTTTGAATACATTTTTAGATTTAAAATGTCTAATTTCATCACTGACTTACTGAAAATCCCTGCTAGGCAGGAAATATCGCATTACTTTTCCCACTCATACTTCAGACGGGAATCCCTTGGCTTGATTCGCTGTGACTGAACGGATAGATTAGCCTCAGAATATCTAGGGAGCATCCTGCCAAGATGAAAGAAGCCCTCCTCTAGACACCCCACCATCCACAACTCACATTCTCATCAATCTAGAGATCATAAAGCCCACAGTCCTGGAGCAGACTTGGTGACATAATACATTTACTACATGACAAAGCCTTGCTGCAATTAAATATGCTCATTAGATAAGAACAACCTGTTATGCAATGAGGAATAAGAGTGGCAGATAACAATTATAGTAGATTTGAATGATTGTAGTATAGCAATAATAGTTTTTTTAGGGTCTTCAAGGTGTTCTGAGTGTTTGTAGCATGTTTCTAAGCAGTTGCTAGGTTGCTTACTGATGGCTTCTATAGCCTACTGTGTGTCCGTGTCCACAGCACAAATGCTGCTGAGCATCAGTGTTTAAAGCCATGTTACAATTCACAGGGCCCCTACGCAGTTTCACAGCTCCCTACAAACTCAGCATGGGGTGTCTGCAGAAGTTCACTTCACTTGATAATGTGTTCCTTTGGAATGCCCTGCTACATCATCAAACACAGATGACACTTGAATCACACAGATTCTAGGTGTCCAATATGTAAATTATTGTAAAATGCATAATACTTGAAAGCCTGATAAGTAACAGTTGTGATGTATAATGTCAAAATAAGTGTGATATGGTTCATTTAAAATATGCATGTGTGTTCTTACCATATGTAGTGCACTTTATACTTGCCTACAACTGCCAACACTCTAAAAAATGCTGGGTTGTTTTTACCCAACGTTGGGTTAAAACAACCCAGCATTTTTTAGAGTGTAGCAACACTCCTAAGGTGAATTAAACTTCTTATACTGTACATTTGACTCGATATCGAAGTACATATGTTCCCTATGTCATGTGCTGTGCTTTTCATTACATTCCCTATACAATTTGGAATCTCACTTATGCTGGGTGCAATCAGTGTAAACAGGTGTGTGCAATTCGTGCTGAGTGCAATCAGTGCAATGCATGATGGGAAATGTAGTCCGGGGTGATGTGCAACAGTGTGTAGTGCGAGAGTCAATGAATTGGAAAGTTCATGGACCGGATTCGTGACAATTTGAGTATTCAAATATTACACTCTTAAGAATGCTGGGTTAAATACAACCCAGTGCTGGGTAAAGTAAGGACAAACCCAGCAATTGGGTTGTTTTGACCCAGCGGTTTGGTTAAATGTTTAACCCAACCTTCTGGGTAGTAACCCAACCGCTGGGTCAAAAAAAACCAATTGCTGGGTTTGTCCCTATTTTACCCAGAACTGGTTTGTATTTAACCCAGCATT